CACTTTTTTTTTTTTTTTTTTAAGGTAAATTGAAAGGGGGATTTATTTTTGAAAGCAACTAGGGTTGTTCGTTTTTTTTTTTTTTCTTTTCTTTTTTAAATAAATAAATATACAAGATTATTTCCAAACTATGATCCTATACGATTTCTTAGTGTGTAAACAATAGACAGATACTAACTATACTTTAATCACTTTATCTCCTACAGCAAGTCAATATAAACATGATACAATTTTTCAATATTCTTTCATACTTACCTATCATGATTCAACAAAACATTAACAACATCCTTGAACTTGTCTGGATTCTCCGAGTTAAAGAATCCACTACTGATCTGATCCAAGCATTGTTTCAGTTCAAAGTTTTTGTTGTAGTATTCCCAAGCATTGTAACTGAAGAATAATAATAATAAAGATTAGATCTAAGTATACTTAACTAATTTGTGCAAGAAAAACATATTCCAGCTACAATATGTTTAAAATATTAAAATTACGACACTTACAGTCCAAGAACTAATTAATACCAATTTAATACCATTTGGTGAATGATTTAAGTGCTTTAAGTTATCCCAAGTAATTAAACGTAGACAACCATCATAATATTCCACTTGTGAAGGAATAGAAATTAGGGTGGAACTTGTATATAGATATTCAAAGATTTTATATAAATCTTTAAAAATTCTTGATAACATTTACAAAATTTCTACTAGATTGTGCACTAACATGTGAAGATTTATTTTAATAAAAATTTATCTGTCACTTTACTCAACTTCATCTTTAGTTTTAAAAGTATTAAATTAGTTAAAAACAGTACAGTTAAAGTGACTGGCATAATTATGTGCTATACAAGGAATTATATGATTTTTCTGTACAGAATTGAATCTTCTTAGTTATAACTTAAGATATTTCCAACATATTCTTTAAAGGATTTTTTTTTTTGTAATTGTTGACCCATGCTATAGGCCTTAACAGAGAACCTGCCTTGAAAGTTTGATACCTGAAACTGGCAGACATTTGGAGCAGAAATTAATAAATATTTAAACAAAATACAGAAAAATTAGTGAAGATTAATAACACAACACAGGCCTGCAAATTTAAACTTCATAAAAGTTGTTTTGGTTTTAATAATTGGGATTTTCCCCCATAATTAAACTATGCATATTTAGATAATTAAATTAAGTTTTTTCTATCACATAAGGATTTTTTTTGTTTACAAGTTTGGAAGAAAAAACAAAAGTCTTACTTAGATCAAATTATTATTTTGTTTACCACAATGAAGTTTTTATTTCTTTATTATTATTGGGTTTGTTAACCAAAATATAAACAAACTGAAGAAAATGAAATAACATTGATGTCAATCAAATATGCATCTTCATTCATCCCATTTTTTTTTTTTTGTGTGAAATCTAAATCTTTAGTCTCAAAAACATGTTGTGGTCTTTCTTTTATGTATTACATTATGATATATATCGGTTTTTGCATAAATTGTACTTTGGATTTAGCAGTTAACTACTAAATTTATCAGTTAACTCAATTTCATGCTATTTGAAATACTAATATGTAACAATAGCCAAAATTATCATTACCAGCAAGGAATACCAAACTGATAATTCAGTGAATTTTAATCAATCATTATAGCCAGTCAATATTTATACAGCTTTTGGTCAGAAAACCCGAGTAGTAACCCACACACACGAGATTAAAATGTAAAGAAAAACAAGTGTTTTACCCTTTCCTTTTGAGCTCTTCCACTTCTTCTACATTCATTCCAAAGATAAAGATGTTCTCAGCTCCCATCTCTTGTTTCATCTCAATGTTAGCTCCATCCAAAGTACCAATCGTAAGTGCTCCATTAAGCTGAACCAGAATTTATCCATTATTAATACATGCTAACAGTTCACATTAACTTTTGCTTAAATGTATTTTTTAAGTCTAGCACAGAAATACAATTAATAGTAAAAAAAATAAATTTTTTAATTTTAATTTATTTAATTACTTACCTATACTATACTACTATACTACTACTCTACTCGTACGTCGTC